CGCCATCGGAGGTCGTCGTAGAGCCCGGGCTCTCGCCCATGCGCGGGGCCCGTCAGGTCGGGCCCATCAAGGCCACCACGTGCGCCCCAGGTGACAGGCGCGACATCGTCAGTGACGCGCGCGCGTGTCCACATATGAGCACGACAACATCAGCGAGAAGCACGACATCGTTGTCACGCACGACGCCAATGACAAGCACGACATGATCGGCAAGCACGACATCATCAGTGGCAGTCACGACGCTAGTAACAAGCACGACGTTCTAGTCAAGCATGACAGCAGTAGCAAGCACGACATCATCTGCGACACGACCATCAGCAAGCACGGCACGGTCGGGAGCCACTACACCTAGGATGTGCATGGCATGCACAGCATAGTGGAGCCGTCGCTCATTTCTTCGCGTCGCTGTTTTGGTTCGGACTCTCCAGCCGCGCCTCCGACGGCACCGAGAGGATCGGCGGCCCCTCGTCACCCGAGTATGGCCCTGAGGCATGCTCGGGCGCTCTGGGGTGCGGGGCCGCTCGCCGCCGGCCCAGCCTACGCCGACCTCGGCAGCCCCGCGATTGGACCCCCTGGTCTTCCAGGGCCGCCGAGCGCCTTGGGAGGGCCCCGGCGCCGCGGCCGCGGCGACGGGCCTCTTGCAGGGCGCGAAGCGCAGGCCAGCGGCGACCGCGGCGGTGGGGCGCCTTCACGCGATGTTCAAAGACGGGAGGCACCTCACCTACGCCAACCGCCTCATCGCCGCCATCGCCTGGGCGCGGTCGGAGTTCAGCCGCCGCGGCCAGCTCCATCCCCCGAGGGCGAAGCAGGCGGCAGCGGGCTGGAAGAACCTGGCCCGCCGAAGAGTCGGCAGGCGCTCCCGATCGAAGTCGCTTCCCTCATCCTCAACTGGTTGCTGCTGCAGAGGTCCTACGTGGCCGCCCCAGCGGCGCGGCTGCCGTTCGAGATCTACGGCCGCCCTGGCGAGATCCACAGGTTGAGGGCGGTGGACCTCGCCCCGCCGCTGGCGTCGCGAGGGCCAGCCCACCGCTTCTGGAGCCTGACTCGGCGCGCCGCCGAGGTGGGCGAGGTCTGCAAGACGAACGAGTTTACAACGCCGTGCGGCTCGACCTCCCACGTCATCGGCGCCTGGCAGCAAGTCTCGACTGGATGCTGGCGCGCCGCTGGGGCGAGGGCTGGAGGGCCACGGCGGTGGCTCGCGAGGGAGGGGCTGCTGGCTTGCCCGGCTCTCTCTCCCGCATCTCGGCCGCCGACGTGTCGAAGGAGTTCAAGCGGGCGGCGGCCGCGCTCGGGCTCGGGCGCATCGGGGCGATCCACCTCTACCAGCTTCGTCGTGCCGGGCCGTCGCACGACTCAGCCGCCTCCTGCCGGGCCCTGGAAGAAATGCGCCGCCGCGGCCGATGGCGGACATGGAGCAGCGCGCGCCGCTACGCCAAGGGAAGCCGTCTCACCCAGGCTCTGCATCGGCTTCCCTTCGGCTTCCAGCGGCATGGAGGCGCGCGCGCGGAGAGATTGTGCCACCCCGTGTTCAAGGTGGCCTTTCCTTTGCCGCGGCCAGCCTGAAGGCCCCAGTGATGCTCGAGCTGTTCTCAGGGCACGGAGGTTTTGCCCGTGCTGCTGGCGCCGTGGGCTTCTGGGCCCTTGTTTGGGACCTGTCGCTCGGCGAACAGTGCGATCTGACTTGCTCAGAGAATCGTCTCAGAAGCATGCCGTGGCCCCGGGCAGGTTTGACCCTCGCGCGAGCGATGGGCTATGGCGTTGGCCCCCTGCGGTGCGATCAGACGAGCACTTCTTTTGACTCCCAACCCCTCGTTAAAATTGCAGGCCTCTTTAGCCTCTTGCTGCCCTTGCTTGGGGGCCTCTTTAGCCTCTGGAGTCCCGTGGTCCGTGGAGAACCCCAAAACATCCAGGCTCTGGCTTTCGCCCGATTTTAAGCACCTGTCGCGCCGTCGCGCCGTTGAATTCGTCGTCACATCGATGCGTATGCGGGGTACGCCAGGCCGAAGGGACACTGGCCTCCTTCCGGGGTTGTTGGATGCTACTTCTCGGCGAGGCTCGAAGCGCATGGGCTCGCGGCGAGGGGTCTGCGCTGACTCAGGCAAGCCCCATGATCCTCTGCTGCAAGAGGCCTGACGGGTCTTCTGCCACTGCCGCTGCTGCCGTCTGTTCGCCCAGGTTTTGCAAAGCCATGGCCCGATTATCGGACTGAGGAGGCCGAAGGGTCATTCATTGTCCCTGGGTGCGTGGCTGAAGTGCGGATCCGTGGTGAGGATTATGCTTGTTGTTGTTGTTGAACACTATTACTTCTAAAGAATTATTATTGTTGGACCCCCTGGTGCACGCCCCCCGCCCAAAACCTAGGCCGCAGCTACATTTTCATCATTTTTCTGCGAAAGCTTCAGAAAAGTGGATTACCCCCGGATCCGGTTTTTTGTTGACGCTCGTTTTCCCTTGCAAAAAACAATAGAAAATGAAAATTCTTGTTCTTAGTTGATCAAAT